AAAAAATACAGATTTCAGTATTCTGAGGCTCTGAGCCATTTATTTTCCTCACAGACGGCAACAAAAGTCCGAAATTATACGATTTAAAATAAAAGCAATAACTGTGGCTTGATATTGAGTAAGAACATGTTTTTATGAACCACAGAGCTTCCGGTCTTCCTCGATCCGACCGGAGAAAAAGACGTGCTGCAGGCAGTAGAAATACATTGCTTTTAAAATCGTGCTGTGCAACACGAAAAAAAGGGGCAAATCGTGTTGGTGAACACGAAATGCCGTGAGACTGGGTTACCTCCTCGGCGTCTCTCCTAGGCTCCGCCTCTCGTCACTCCTCCACTCTGCAACACTGATGCGGCGGGAGAGAGAGAGAAAAAAGCCCTCAGTGGCGCAGACGCTCAACAGCAATAACACCACACAGACAAACAGCTGGGCTTGCCTGGTGACTTCCCTTTATTTAGCTGTTTTCAAGCGTTGTATGTGGTCTCCCCCGGTCCGATTGCTCCCAGCGTCTCTGCCGTCTTTCCTCTGCTCTGCTCTGCTTCCTGCTTTCCGCTTTCCTTTCTCCGTTCCTCCGTTTTCTCGTTCGTCCTTCTCCTTGCACCTCTTCCCGTCTTTTTCCTCCTGCTCAGCTGTGTCTGATTGCTTAAAAACAAAAATACCGTTCACTATCGGCCAATCATGCGCCATGGGGGGTTAGTCCAGTCAGACAGAGCCGGTTTCAATAATGCCAATCCCAAGAAATAAACCAACAAGATTCACAGGTAAAATCATGCAGTAATCACTCCATTAAAAACCACAGCACAAGTAGAAAAACATGCAATGATCCTTAAAATCACACCTTAGAAAAACATGCAATGATCCTTAAAATCACACCTTAGAAAAACATGCAATGATCCTTAAAATCACACCTTAGAAAAACATGCAATGATCCTTAAAATCACACCTTAGATGTTGATTAAAACCAAACTTGAATAAATAATTAAAACATGCACATTTTGGGATTTCAGGCCAATAGAATACTGCCACTCCGACATGTACATTAGTAAGCAGTACACATTACTCTGTCTCCAGCAGTACTCAGTACTTGTTGTGTACTCTGTGTCTCCAGCAGTACTCAGTACTTGTTGTATACTCTGTGTCTCCAGCAGTACTCAGTATTTGTTGTGTACTCTGTGTCTCCAGCAGTACTCAGTACTTGTTGTATACTCTGTGTCTCCAGCAGTACTCAGTATTTGTTGTGTACTCTGTGTCTCCAGCAGTACTCAGTACTTGTTGTGTACTCTGTGTCTCCAGCAGTACTCAGTACTTGTTGTGTACTCTGTGTCTCCAGCAGTACTCAGTACTTGTTGTGTACTCTGTGTCTCCAGCAGTACTCAGTACTTGTTGTGTACTCTGTGTCTCCAGCAGTACTCAGTATTTGTTGTGTACTCTGTGTCTCCAGCAGTACTCAGTACTTGTTGTGTACTCTGTGTCTCCAGCAGTACTCAGTACTTGTTGTATACTCTGTGTCTCCAGCAGTACTCAGTATTTGTTGTGTACTCTGTGTGTCTCCAGCAGTACTCAGTACTTGTTGTGTACTCTGTGTCTCCAGCAGTACTCAGTACTTGTTGTGTACTCTGTGTCTCCAGCAGTACTCAGTACTTGTTGTGTACTCTGTGTCTCCAGCAGTACTCAGTATTTGTTGTGTACTCTTTGTCTCCAGCAGTACTCAGTACTTGTTGTGTACTCTTTGTCTCCAGCAGTACTCAGTACTTGTTGTGTACTCTGCGTCTCCAGCAGTACTCATTATTTGTTGTGTACTCTGTGTGTCTCCAGCAGTACTCAGTACTTGTTGTGTACTCTGTGTCTCCAGCAGTACTCAGTACTTGTTGTATACTCTGTGTCTCCAGCAGTACTCAGTATTTGTTGTGTACTCTGTGTGTCTCCAGCAGTACTCAGTACTTGTTGTGTACTCTGTGTCTCCAGCAGTACTCAGTACTTGTTGTGTACTCTGTGTCTCCAGCAGTACTCAGTACTTGTTGTGTACTCTGTGTCTCCAGCAGTACTCAGTATTTGTTGTGTACTCTGTGTCTCCAGCAGTACTCAGTACTTGTTGTGTACTCTTTGTCTCCAGCAGTACTCAGTACTTGTTGTGTACTCTGCGTCTCCAGCAGTACTCATTATTTGTTGTGTACTCTGTGTCTCCAGCAGTACTCATTATTTGTTGTGTACTCTGTGTCTCCAGCAGTACTCAGTATTTGTTGTATACTCTGTGTCTCCAGCAGTACTCAGTATTTGTTGTGTACTCTGTGTCTCCAGCAGTACTCAGTACTTGTTGTGTACTCTTTGTCTCCAGCAGTACTCAGTACTTGTTGTGTACTCTGCGTTTCCAGCAGTACTCATTATTTGTTGTGTACTCTGTGTCTCCAGCAGTACTCAGTACTTGTTGTGTACTCTGTGTCTCCAGCAGTACTCAGTACTTGTTGTGTACTCTGTGTCTCCAGCAGTACTCAGTACTTGTTGTGTGCTCTGTGTCTCCAGCAGTACTCAGTATTTGTTGTGTACTCTGTGTCTCCAGCAGTACTCAGTACTTGTTGTGTACTCTGTGTCTCCAGCAGTACTCAGTACTTGTTGTGTACTCTGTGTCTCCAGCAGTACTCAGTACTTGTTGTGTACTCTGTGTCTCCAGCAGTACTCAGTACTTGTTGTGTACTCTGTGTCTCCAGCAGTACTCAGTACTTGTTGTGTACTCTGTGTCTCCAGCAGTACTCAGTATTTGTTGTGTACTCTTTGTCTCCAGCAGTACTCAGTACTTGTTGTGTACTCTTTGTCTCCAGCAGTACTCAGTACTTGTTGTGTACTCTGCGTCTCCAGCAGTACTCATTATTTGTTGTGTACTCTGTGTGTCTCCAGCAGTACTCAGTACTTGTTGTGTACTCTGTGTCTCCAGCAGTACTCAGTACTTGTTGTATACTCTGTGTCTCCAGCAGTACTCAGTATTTGTTGTGTACTCTGTGTGTCTCCAGCAGTACTCAGTACTTGTTGTGTACTCTGTGTCTCCAGCAGTACTCAGTACTTGTTGTGTACTCTGTGTCTCCAGCAGTACTCAGTACTTGTTGTGTACTCTGTGTCTCCAGCAGTACTCAGTATTTGTTGTGTACTCTTTGTCTCCAGCAGTACTCAGTACTTGTTGTGTACTCTTTGTCTCCAGCAGTACTCAGTACTTGTTGTGTACTCTGCGTCTCCAGCAGTACTCATTATTTGTTGTGTACTCTGTGTCTCCAGCAGTACTCATTATTTGTTGTGTACTCTGTGTCTCCAGCAGTACTCAGTATTTGTTGTATACTCTGTGTCTCCAGCAGTACTCAGTATTTGTTGTGTACTCTGTGTCTCCAGCAGTACTCAGTACTTGTTGTGTACTCTTTGTCTCCAGCAGTACTCAGTACTTGTTGTGTACTCTGCGTTTCCAGCAGTACTCATTATTTGTTGTGTACTCTGTGTCTCCAGCAGTACTCAGTACTTGTTGTGTACTCTGTGTCTCCAGCAGTACTCAGTACTTGTTGTGTACTCTGTGTCTCCAGCAGTACTCAGTACTTGTTGTGTGCTCTGTGTCTCCAGCAGTACTCAGTATTTGTTGTGTACTCTGTGTCTCCAACAGTACTCAGTACTTTTTGTGTACTCTGTGTCTCCAGCAGTACTCAGTACTTGTTGTGTACTCTGTGTCTCCAGCAGTACTCAGTACTTGTTGTGTACTCTGTGTCTCCAACAGTACTCAGTATTTGTTGTGTACTCTGTGTCTCCAGCAGTACTCAGTACTTGTTGTGTACTCTGTGTCTCCAGCAGTACTCAGTACTTGTTGTGTACTCTGTGTCTCCAGCAGTACTCAGTACTTGTTGTGTGCTCTGTGTCTCCAGCAGTACTCAGTATTTGTTGTGTACTCTGTGTCTCCAACAGTACTCAGTACTTGTTGTGTACTCTGTGTCTCCAGCAGTACTCAGTACTTGTTGTGTACTCTGTGTCTCCAGCAGTACTCAGTACTTGTTGTGTACTCTGTGTCTCCAGCAGTACTCAGTACTTGTTGTGTACTCTGTGTCTCCAGCAGTACTCAGAACTTGTTGTGTACTCTGTGTCTCCAGCAGTACTCAGTACTTGTTGTGTGCTCTGTGTCTCCAGCAGTACTCAGTACTTGTTGTGTGCTCTGTGTCTCCAGCAGTACTCAGTACTTGTTGTGTACTCTGTGTCTCCAGCAGTACTCAGTACTTGTTGTGTACTCTGTGTCTCCAGCAGTACTCAGTACTTGTTGTGTACTCTGTGTCTCCAGCAGTACTCAGTACTTGTTGTGTACTCTGTGTCTCCAGCAGTACTCAGTACTTGTTGTGTGCTCTGTGTCTCCAGCAGTACTCAGTACTTGTTGTGTACTCTGTGTCTCCAGCAGTACTCAGTACTTGTTGTGTACTCTGTGTCTCCAGCAGTACTCAGTACTTGTTGTGTACTCTGTGTCTCCAGCAGTACTCAGTACTTGTTGTGTACTCTGTGTCTCCAGCAGTACTCAGAACTTGTTGTGTACTCTGTGTCTCCAGCAGTACTCAGTACTTGTTGTGTGCTCTGTGTCTCCAGCAGTACTCAGTACTTGTTGTGTGCTCTGTGTCTCCAGCAGTACTCAGTACTTGTTGTGTACTCTGTGTCTCCAGCAGTACTCAGTACTTGTTGTGTACTCTGTGTCTCCAGCAGTACTCAGTACTTGTTGTGTACTCTGTGTCTCCAGCAGTACTCAGTACTTGTTGTGTACTCTGTGTCTCCAGCAGTACTCAGTACTTGTTGTGTACTCTGTGTCTCCAGCAGTACTCAGTACTTGTTGTGTACTCTGTGTCTCCAGCAGTACTCAGTACTTGTTGTGTACTCTGTGTCTCCAGCAGTACTCAGTACTTGTTGTGTACTCTGTGTCTCCAGCAGTACTCAGTACTTGTTGTGTACTCTGTGTCTCCAGCAGTACTCAGTACTTGTTGTGTACTCTGTGTCTCCAG